TTGCCCATAACCGAGGGCGCGGCAATTCGAATAGATTGTACTCTGATCAGAGGTGTACATCTTTACCCACAAGACACATCTTCCTCACGTGTAACCACGTGCCGCAGACCACCACGGTATACGGACGGAAGACGTGACATAGTTTCCAACCCATCCTAGCCATAGACAAGAATACCGACCCAACCCCACCTACGGCTGGAACCCCTGGGACAGGTAGGCAGGACTGAGCCCCGAGCAGCAGGACACCGGCCCTGTGCCATGACATCTCGACTACCGGGCCACAGCTCATGTAGCCTTCATTTGTCCTAGAGATGTCCATCGATCCCCGACTTCGTCCATCTCCATCTGTGTACTTTTGTTTATAACCAGACTGAGCCACAAACTAAGCCTTACCCACTAGACATGTGGAAGTACGGTAGTGCTTTGCAACAGAGGCCCGAAGACCGGTCCTTATATGGCCGAGGTGCTACTATCAAAACCATGCACCCCGAGCCCAGCGTAAAACCATTTTGGGGATTTTGAATAGAGGGGGAGGTGTGAATCCAATTCCACAATAATCCAACAATTCCATAGTGTCCAGGTGATAAGAGTATTCCCAAGGTCTAGAGTTGTAAAACCACCTAATGTTGCCTAATTAACCAGTGAAGCATCTACCTAAAATCATACTAGTGGTACCATGAGTAGAGTGTCCACTAGTTGGGGTTTTGTTTAATCTAGGGTGAACAAGGTAATAATAACAATAACAATAATAATAAGGTCATAATAAAGGTAAATAGGCATGGCTAAATAAAACAGTGATAACGCGGGAATTTAAATAAAGCGGTAATGCAATAATTTAAATCAAAATAATTTTATAAACTGGGATTCAATATGTTCAAGGACGATGTGACTTGCCTTGCTCGCTTTCCCAAACGTCGGCTTCAACCTCCACGAAGAGCGGATCTTTCGAAGCTGCAGCGTCTACACGACCAACAGAAAAGAAAAGGACTTTACTCTAATAAACTCCATATAACAAGCAGAAACAAAGCACAAAAATGGGTTCTTGACTTCTTAAGGAAAAATTAGAGACTTGAACGGTCCAATTCCGAGTTCAAATGGCCAAGTTATAGTCATTTGAAGTTTATATGCTCTTTAAATGAATATTTGCGAATTTCTTCATTTAAATTTTAATTTAAAAAGGGTTTATTGCGTCAGCCGAGGGGAGGGGGCACGCGGACCGGGTCCACGGGAGTGGGGCCCACGCGGCTGACGGCCGGGCCCCACGCGGCAGCCACTCGGCGCGCCCGAGGGCGGCCAAGCCTGTGCAGCCGGCGGGAGGCGGCGCGCCCGCGCCCCGATGGTCGCCGCCGGTGACCACCGGCGCGGCGGAGCGGCGGCCGAGAGAGGGGAAGGGAAGGGGGAAAAGAAGCGGCAGTCCACGGCTCACCCTAGGTTGACGGCGACAACGAAAAAGGCGGCCGGTGCGGAGGAAGGCGGCAGCGCTGCTCGGGTCGACGGGGTCGACGGCGTTCCGGCGGTCGGTGAGCGAAACGGAGGGGTGGACGAGGTCGGTGAGGATGCGGCAAAGCCGAAGGAGGCGGCGCCGAGGTGGGAGGTGGTCCGGGGTGACGGCGGCGGCGGACCGGAGCTCGACGGCGGCGGTGGAGAGAGAGAGCAACGGCGCGAGCTCGATTCCGTCGAGGACGAAGGGCGGCGAGAGGTGGAAACGGACGGAGGAGGTGCGGGGAGGGTTTAAATAGAGTTGGAAGGGGGAGAGGGCGGCCGGAGGGGAAGGAAACCGGCGCGGCGCTCTCGGGCTCCATCAATGGCGCTGGCGAGATTTGCGGGGGCAAATCCGCGCGTTTGAACGTGAGAGAGAGAGGGGAAAATGGGGGGAAAGGGAGAGGGAATCACGGGGAATAATTCCCCCCTATTGATTGCACGCGGGGAGGACGGGGGCGGCGGGATTCGCGGCGGCGGCGCTAGGGCGCGGGCGAGGCGGCGGGAGCGGCGGGAGGAAGGGGATGACGGGTGGGCCCCACCCGTCAGCGAGGGTGGCGGGCGGGCCCGCCCGTCAGTGGCGCGCGCGCGGGGAGAGGCCGGATGGGCCGCGGGGAGAGGAGAGGGAGGGGGAAGGGGATGGGCCGAGCCGGCCCAAGAGGGAGAGGGAGGGAAAGGGGACTTTTCAGAGTTTTTCTTTTTATAAAATCATTTTAACTTTGTTTATTTCTTAATAATTATTATTTGTGCTCTGAAAATTCCACTAAAATTTATTTACGCATTTTAGGCTTTTAGGAAATATACAAAAATCCTCTAAGCCTTATTTGACTTTTAACTTTGCACATTTTAATTGTTGGAGGCTTTCACACGGATTTTAATTATTCTAGGCACCATTTAGAGGATATATTTTAGGGTCGTTTTGGGACGTGACAGTGTGGAGCAAGCCAAGAAATGCAAAAGCTGCCAGCGGCATGGCCGAAGCCAGACAGCACCCCAGTACGAGCTGTAGCCTATCGCAGTAGTCTGGCCTTACGCCAGATGGGGGTTGGACATCATTGGCCCTTTCCCGGTGGCACGAAATGGGTACAAGTTTGCAATTGTAGCAATTGAATACTTCTCTCGTTGGATCGAAGCCGAATCGCTTGGTGCGATCACTTCGGCAGCTGTATAAAAATTTGTGTGGAAGAACATCGTTTGCCATTTCGGAGTGCCGAAAGAATTCATCACTGACAATGGCAAGCAGTTTGATTCTGACAAGTTTAGAGAGATGTGCGAAGGCCCAGACCTGCAAATCAAGTTCGCTTCTGTCGCACACCCACAATCGAACGGGGCAGTCGAATGAGCAAATGGCAAGATCCTTGAGGCGCTCAAGAAGAGGCTTGAAGGGGCGGTGAAGGGCAAATGGCCGGACGAAATGTTATCTGTTCTTTGGGCCCTTCGGACGACCCCCACAAGGCCAACCAAGTTTAGCCTGTTCATGCTCCTTTATGGTGACGAAGCAATGACCCCAACAGAGTTAGAGGCTAACTCACCAAGGGTAATGTTTTCTGAAGGAGAAGATGGGCGCGAGGTGTTGCTCGAACTCCTCGAAAGGGTGAGAGTCGAAGCACTAGAACACATGCGCAAATATGCCAAGAGCACTTTGGCACCTTACAACAAAAAGGTTCAACCGATAGAGCTGCTGCCTGGCTAAGGAAGAAGGCGAACCCAATGGCGGTTGGAAAGCTTGAATCGAAGTGGGAAGGGCCATACCTCATCAAGAACAGGTCCAGGACGGGCTCTTTTCGCTTGGCGACGCTGGAAGGCGAAGAGTTCGACCACTCCTGGAACGCTGCTTCTCTTAAGCGTTTCTATGTCTAGAAGGGGTGGCACCCCATTCGCCAACTTGTAAAAATGTACATACTATTATGTAGGCCCTTCGGCACAAAAATACAAAAAAAGAGGAAAATAAAAAAAGGAAAAAAACTGGATGTAGGGCTATTATCCATCCTGGAGGCCCGAACCAGTATATAATCCATGTGTCTTTCACCTTTTTACTTGTGTAAATGATAATTCGTGGAAAAACCCTAAGGCAAACACCTGATAAGCGAAAGCGCCAGGGGGGCGAAATGAATCGACCGAAGCATCGCTCGCTGAACATTGAAACCGCAACATCTTGTTTCGGGAAATAAATAACCGAACACAGTCATATTCGATCTATGTGAAAAACACGAGCATTTCTTTAGCGCGGAATACTACAGATCGAAAACGGAAGTAGGAAGCTGAAAAGTCAGCAGACATATTTCGCTAATATACGCAAGGGGGCCGACATATTTCGACCTAACAAAATCATGAAAGGTGACTATGCGTACAATAGCGAAAAGGAAATAAAACACATCTTCATTAACTTCGAAAAAAAATATAGGCCATACAACATGGTACAGGCGAAAGAAGGTAACGGGCTTTACAGCCTAACTTACAAAAAAATTACATCTCCACCCCCAAAACACCCTCCACGCCCTAAGGTATGATCTGGCGAACTTGGTTCGTCATCACTACTAATATTATACACTACCCTAAGAGGAGAAGGGGGCGAGACATAAACTAGACCGTAACGGCGTTGGGCGATCGCTTCCTGACGATCAGTCCTCCGATGATTTCACCAAAAGCGAGCCATGTCCTCCCGATGCTCCACATGGACACGGTCGTAGTCGTCCATGGTTCGCCCGGGGTGTGCCCGCATCCAGCTGGAAACTTTCAAAACCTTGTAACTATTGCCATTTATTATCATCTCGCAACATGAATACTTAAATTTCAGCAAGCCTTCAACTGTGATGAATTTCTCATTCTTTTTACGCCAATCTCTGAAAGGAAGCCGAACACACAATTTCTAGTGAAGACCCTGCTAAAACAACATAAAAAGGGGCAAATGGGAAAGCACAAGGTTAAGAGAGGGCGAAGCTCATAAAGCGGGCAAAAAGTGTAGCCCCTATTCGTGTACAAAATGATGCAACCATACATATCAAAGCCCTAAAAACGGGATAATTGGCGAAACTTGGTTCATCTATTCCATATAAAAAAGGCCATTTTCGGCTACAGTACAAAAGGGGGAAACATCGGCCAAATTTACATCGTTCGCCTTCCGTGGCCAACGCAAAAAATCTAAAAATCTAAAGAGCGGGCGGAGGGCCTCACACCTCTGGGTGATTATGGCCGATGTCTACCCCAGCGCCCGCATCTGCCCCACCTCCTTCGCCCGCTGCCTCCTCGCCTTGATCCGCCGCCTCTGCCTTTGCCAAGTGCTCGAGCAGGCGCGCCTTGGCAGTAGATCAGCCGTCCATTTGCCAGAATTGTTTGCGCCAAGCACGAAGTGCGGCCGAAAGATCCTGACAACTGACTTCCCAATCCCCCTTCACCAACTTGGGGAACTCGGCGATATGCTCGCACCCATTTTGTTGTAGCAGGCCCATGGTAAAGGCCGCTAACACACGCGCGTAGCAATCGCCGTATGCAGTGGTGCAATCAGAGACCACACCACTGGCCTATTGAGTCCACTCCGAGAAGTCAAAGGCAGAAGCATCTTCGTCGGGGACTCCTCGCACCTTCGCCCACATGTCGGTAAGGGCAAGGCAAAGCGTGCGGCACACGGTCTTTGCGGACTTAGTGGTCTTCACCATCTCCCGCGCGAACCGTTGTGCGTCTCTCTTAGCGGCTGCTTCTACCTTGCTGACCTCCTGACGAAGAGCCTCCATCTTCGGCTCGGTAAGGTTATAGTAATCAGTCAAGGCGGTGGACTAATCTCGTTCTTTTTTAAGCTCAGCCTTGAGGCGCTCGATCTCGGCCTTCGCTCGCTCCCCTTCTCCAGCTCAACTTGGAGCTGCTTATTCTCAGTCTTCGTCTCCTTAAGGGTGTTGGCTAGGTTTTCCATTTCTAGCCCCTTGCGGCCCAGTTCTTCATCCTTAGCCCGAAGACGACTTTTAAAGCTGTCAAGGCGAGCCCTCACGGTTCGCTCGGTCGAACAATGAGCTGCGGGTATCTAAAAAAAAGGGGGGGCTAAAATGAAGAAAATTAGCATAAGTTGTGGAAAAGCAACATTTAAAGCGGGCGAACGACATACCCAGACGGCTAAGCTTTTGACAGCGGTACAGCCCTCGTTGAACTCGTTCAACTCAGTGAACAGGCTCGGACTTCCAGCCGGAGAAACGAGATGACTTACCCCCTCGATGAAGGGGGTAAGATCCACCCGGGTCTCGAAATCCCAAGGGACGAAGCAGGGCGCCGTGAGCGAATACTCTGAAGCCGACGTCTCAACGGCCGCCTTCTTCCCGTTTTGGATGGCCAGCGGTGAAGTAGGTGGACTGTGCGGAGGGCTCCCGAAGAGCCTGGCAGCAGCCTTCACAACCCGGTCAGCAGAACCTGAAGTACCAGCTGCAGCGCTCCCTCCCGCTTCGCCCGTGTCGGTCGCAGCATCGGGAGCGGTCGAAAGATCTTGGCTCCACCCAGCGGCCGAAGTAGAGGTCTCATCCGAAGACTCGTCATCACTGAAAACACAGGCGACATCGACGAACCCCTTTTTTTTGGAGGTTTTCTTAACTGGCCCTCCCTTCACCACCTTGCCCGCCGCAATCGAAACCAATGCCTTTGCCCTATGCAAATCCTTCCGGCGAAGGGGGGAGCTGTTCGACTCCACCCCAGTTACGACGTGGTCTGGGCTTGGGGTTGGGGTGTAGCCGTGCGTCTCGGTGCGGTTGTCGGCGGGCTCATTCGCGGCCGGTTCGACCGCAACTTTCGCCTCCTCCTCATCCTCCCCCTCCTCTTCATCGTACTGGTCATCGACAGTGTCCTCATCGTCGGCATCAGAGTCAGTGGAGGCAGGGGCCTTTCGCTTCTGAGGGGCCGATTTTGCTTGCTCGCGTTTGCGCTTCTTCGAGGTCCCTTCATCACCATCGGCCTTGGAGGGCTTCTCCCGAGAGGGGAGATCGCCATCATGCACACGATTCGCTCGGCCAGCCGCCTTCCGTGTAAGCAGCTGGCTGTATTCTGTGATCGACACATCGCCGACCATCTTCCGAGCTTCGGTTTCAGCCTGAACAAGAGTTAGCACTGCAAAAATGAAACGTCTCATCATACTGGCCGCAAAGCAGGGAAAAAAGAGCGAAATGCAACTGCATGTGGGAAAGCAAAAGCCTACCTTTCGCCCCCTTTGGCATGACGAGCTTCGGTAGGCCATCGACCTCCTCGTCCTGGTTCACCTCGACTTGCCATGACTAGGAGAGAGGAAAGATCCGAAGCATGCAAAACTCTTCCACCAGGTCACGGCAGCTAAGGTGGAGGCAGACCTTGCGAAGCAGGGCGAAATGGGCTTCCATAGCTCCATCAGTGGCAACCCTGGGTTTCCTGTTTGGCACGATCGCCCTGCACCGCCATCGGAGAGCTTTCGCCGCGTCGGACCTGGCCTCGAAGGGGATGGAGTGGTATAATCACTTCGACATCCAGTGGCAATCCCACTTGGACATAGAAGCGCTGTAATGCCCTGATATTCGTTTGGGATTAAAAATCGTTTAATAATGCATTTTCTAGAAATTAAATAAAAGTTCAAGCAAATTTAATCAAGTGAATTATTGGGAGAATTAAAATTTTCCCTCAAAAATCATTGGCCGAGAATATTTTACAATATTCTTTGCGCCCTAAAATACCCTCCGGATTTTTTCGTGAATTTTTGGAGCTCAAGAAATAATTTTAAAGTCATGAAGTTCATTAAAATAATTTAAATAAAAAGAAAACAAATTAAAAACCTCCTCTCTCCCTTTGGGCCGCTCCCGGCCCAATCCCCCTTTCCCTCCCGCGGCCCGTGCCCCTCTCTCCCTTCCTCGGCCGGCCTCCCCTCTCCTCTCTTGGGCCGTTGGCCCGTTTCCCCTTCTCCTCGCGCAAAGTCTAAATAACCCCCTGAATCCCCTCCCCCTTTCGCCGACAGGTGGGCCCGAAGACCCCACTTGTCAGGTCCATCCCCTTCCTCTCGCCGGCCACAACCGCCGCCATGGCCATCCGTTGCCGCCCACGTCGCCCTCGATTTCGGCCTCTCCCGCTCGCACCCTCGCGCCATAACCGAGTGAAATCGGTCCCCCTCCACGTCCTCCACCATCTCCACGACTTTCCCCCAAAAAAAGGGCGCCTGTTTGACCTCCCCACGAACTCCACGTCACCGCCCACTCCATCGCTTCCCGCCGGCGAGCGCTGCTTCGCCCGGCCACGTCTCTGCTCCATTTCCCCCTTCCACCACGAAAACCCCCTCCTCACCGTGCCACCCTAGCGCCGTCGTCGCCCTCTAACTCCGGCGGTCGTGCGTCGACGTTCCGGGCCTCCTTAGGCCTCGGGCCCCTCCTCCTCAGCTCCGCAATCTCAAGGGAAGGCCTGGCATCCCCTCATCAAAGCTCTTCGTCGCCAGCATCCATTCCCCGCTGTGAGAGGTGAGCTTCTCCCCTCGTTGCCGGCTTCCGGCTGAGTTTTCACGTCGCCTCGCGCCTCCTCCCTTTTCCCTAACCCTTCCACCGCGCTCCCCAGGTCGCCATCCTCCACCTCGCGTCCGCGGTACGCCGTCGGACCGCCACCGCCGCCCGTTGCCCTCGCCACCTTGGCGCATGGTGAGTGCTCCCTCCTCCTACCCTTTTCCCCCTCCGCTGCCTCCCGTGTCCGGTGCCGCGTCGCGCCACCATCGTCAGCGGCCGTCTGGCTGGCGAGCCAGCCAGCCTCCCCCCTCCCTTGCCGATTGGGGGTGCCGCCCGTGGACCGCCCGTGGTCCTGGTCCACGGCGCACCCGAGGCCGCGGTGGACGCGGTCCACCGTGTGCCTGCCCCTTGACCCGCTGACGTGTGGGGCCCGCCTGTCGGCGCCGGCCTCTTAGATGACGTCAGCGCTTAATCTTTTCCTTTGAGAAAATAATTAATTATTGCGCAATAATTCGATAATAATTCTAGAAATTCATTTAAATGGCTCAAAACTTCTAAAATTCATATCTAATTCATCCGAACTCCGAATTCGGCCATTCAACTTGCAATTTTCATCTAAAATTGAGATCTACATGTTTGTTTACTTTTTATGTACTGTTTCCATAGTTTTTATTAGAGTTTTTCCTCGTTTTGCGTGCCAGCGTGTAGAATCCGTCGTTTCGGAAGTCCACAGTCACAAGGAAAAGAGTTTGGAAGATTGTTTGAAGAAGCAAGGCAAGTAACACATTCCCCTTGAGCATGTTGATCCCAATTTATAAATGTTTTGCCGTTTGCAAATAAATATGCATGTTTTGCTAATTACATGGGATCAGGGTTTACCTATCTGCCTGCTTGTGCCATGTTTACTTGATATCTGTTCTTTGTCAACCGTGGGTGATAATTCGACTAGCTTGTGTTACTTATGTTAACCTAGCTATAACTATATTCTTAGCCATGCTTAATTGTCACTAGCTCAGTTGATGGGATAATTATAGTTTTAGACCTGTTAGTATCAAGACGAGCTGCTTGCTCGAGACATCTGGCCATGTTTCATGGTCATAATTATCCAACTAAAATGCGACTGAATGGTGGGCTGTGGGTGCATGGTTTTGCTAGTCGCACCCATGGCAATTAAGGACCGGTTCACGGGAAACCCTGGAAGACTTATAGTGCTTACCACAAGCGAGAGTGGGTAACTGCTTGATCTAAAGTATAACTCGACCCTTTCCTAGGCACCAGTGGCGAGGGTGGGCATGATGGAGTTGGGTCGGCTGGGGTATCCGGTTGTCCAGCTGCCGGATTCACCGCGGCGCACGAGGGGACTGCCTACCTCCGGGATAGGGGGTGGGGGTGAAACCTTAGCGTGGTGTGGATGGTTAGGGGAGGGTTATGCGGAGGGTCTTATCACAATCACTCGACATGGTGACGTATCTGCGCGGACGCGGTGACATGCCGGTAGATTGTGTCTTGTGGGTACAGTTGTGCACCTCTGGCCAGAGTAAAACTATTCGAATAGCCGTGCCCGCGGTTATGGGCGATTGACCAGATTCACCGTGATTAGTCTTACACTTAATAAATCAACCCAATGCACTGTAGTTCATGTGGGTTGGTTGGGCCTGTTCAACGTGGTGTAGTGTTGATCAGTGGAGATTTAATATTACCTTAATTATTCAACAGTTTTACTGTTTTGCTCAACAAAATGTTTTACAACTGCCTTTATGCAAATAGCCACAAATCATCCTTGCGTTCCCCTTGCACGTCTGCATCATTGGTGTGGCTTGCTGAGTACGGTGGTTGTACTCAGCCTTGCTATTATTCCCCCTTTTAAGAAGTGTATAGCTTCTGAGCCGAAGACGAAGTTAGAAGACCAAGGCTCAGACACCAGTTGAGTTTTGCCTGTGGAGTGGAGCTGAAGCCCCGCTAGTATCGCTTTTTCCGCTGCTACTGCTTTCTTTTCGGTGTGAGGACTAAGTGCCTCTTCTATAAGTATTTTACGCTTTATTTACATTTGGAACTGTAAATTACTTGTCGTTTTGTGTACCCTGGCTGGTCCTGTACAGGGATTTAATACACAAAATAGTCTGGAAATTTGTGCTAAATATCTAGGCGTGACAAGCGTTAACCGGCCAGAGATCGGAGCGCTCGGGACGAACATTGAAGTTTGTTAACAGTGAAATTTGTTAATCGACAAAGACGTCATTGGCTTAGAATCATTATCGGCTGCAGCATCTGCTCGGGACGAACATTGAAGTTCTGTTAATAGTGAAATTTGGTAATCGGCAAAGACATCATCGGCTGCAGCATCTCGGAATCAGTCGATGAGAGTTATCAAGTCGCCAATAGTCGCATTCCTGCTATATTCGGTTAAGGAAATCAATCTACTAAAGGAAGCTTATCTCTAAGTGACCGAGTTTAAAGAGGATGCGGCATGGCAGTTTATCTATTAATTAGGAATAGTTTGTTAGTTTCCTTTTATCTTTAGGAAGGTGTGTTTAGTGTCCGATAAGGACTTTATGTTTTCCTTTTACCTTTAGGTTAGTTTCTTTCTTGTCCGACAAGGACTTGTATCAACCCATGGGTATAAATATGTACACCCGGGCTCTATGTAATCTATCGTCACGATCAATACAATTCGGCGCATCGCCACCTTTTATCTTTTCTACTTTATTTTATCGTCCGGCGGGACTTGACACCTGATGCGGGGCTGCATCGGTGTTCGATCTCCGGCGAAGGGGTAAGTCCAATGTTCCGTCGCCCCAGGCAATTGTATCGTTTACGTCGGCGTCGTTCAAGGCTGCATCAGTACATTCGACCTCTTGGATTGCTCTAGTTTGGATGATATATTTGCCTACCTATTTATTATGTCTCTGTTAATCTAGTCTTAGCATATCAATTTAGCTCTATCGGCTGTCTCTCGCTTTAGGGTTTCTGCCGGTATCGGCTAAATCGCGTTGCTAGATTAGATTAGCCTAGGCATCTACCACCCTGAAAATCAGTCAACGGCTTGATTGTCTAGATATTGTGTTTCTTTTCATACCTAGTGCTGCATCAGTTAAGTTTGATCTACTAAGTCGTGCTTAGAACCATAATCTCTAGCCTGCTTCTTGATTGCCAATAAGGGTTTCATCGGGGTTTCAGCTGGTGAGTTATTTGAACGTTGCATCGGCTCATAAGGATTGCATATACATATAAGTTGGATTTAGCCGATGACAATAAAGGTTTCACTGTTTAATCTAATCTTGTGGATTTCATGACATCGGACCACCAGCCGATGTGTGCTTTAACTTTCGGATCAATACTTGTTCTACTATATCATATTGTTAGCCGATTGGTTTCTACTGGATTATATTGCTATATTACATCATCATCAGCCGATTGCCTTTATATCATTATCTAAATTGGACATATAGCCGATTGCTTAAACCCTATCGCTATCTGCTGGTATCAGCATCGTCTATTATCGGCTATCGGCTAGAACTACTCTATCGGCTTGTCAGCCGATCGGCTGTTTTGATCTACTATTTGCATATCTTGTCAGTTGCAGGATCAAACTGACTGGCACGCCCGCATCTCATCATATTTGGACCTGCACTGGAGCTAAGCAGATCTCCCAGGCCGATGTGTTCGATTTTCTCATCAACAAGATCACGCTCCCGAACCCTGTTTTCTTCGTCCCTGCTGGGGTGACCACAGTCTTTGAGTTTACAGTGGCGTAGAAAATGGTGCCGAAAAGCTCGACGCTCGATTCAAACCCAGTAGTTCGGCACGCCCAGTCAATCATGCTACCAGCAACGATTCAAGCCAAATACGTCAAGTGTACTTAGGTGAAGCCTCCATGACGAAGGCTACGGAACGAAGACGACGAAGGCCAGAAAGCCGCGTGG